CTGAAGTCATGGCTTTTTGTAACAAACAGACGGAAATTTAGATTTTTAAATTACCAGGTTTGTAGAAAATTCTGAATTGGCTTGCTAGTGTTGAGATTCTCAATTGAAATCGAAATGCCAGGAAGAGGAATTTACTGAACTGTATCTCTATGTATATACAGTATGTATCTCTGTCTGTCTGTCTATCTATCTATCTATCTATCTATCTATCTATCTATCTATCTATCTATCTATCTATCTATCTATCTATCTATCTATCTATTATCTATCTATCTATCTATCTATCTATCCCTCTATCTATCTCTGTCTATCTATCTATCTATCTATCTATCTATCTATCTATCTATCTATCTATCAAACTTCAAGGTCTTCAAACAAGTATTCTGTTGCAAAGTTGAACATGAAATACGTTGCTTTTATAAGTTAACAATTACAGCTGAATTTCTTTTCGTTTCAATTCACTGGAATTTATCTTCTTACATGTGAATTTGAATTGGAATTCTGCATTCTGCTTACCTTAAATTAAATTTAAAAGATATTCTCAATTCAATACTGAATGTTGCACAGCCGTGTTATTCACTATTGTTCCTAACAGCCTCAATTCGCTGCCAGTATATTCTCAAAAACATCTCCTTTATGTCATACGGAAGAAAGAAAGTCATACAGGTTTAGAATGGCGATTAACTGATCACAGAATTTTCATTTCTGGATGAACTGTCCCTTTAAATTCAAAACGGTGTCCCCTAAAGCAGTGCAAAGTCTGAGGAAATCAGTTCCGTTAACGGAGAGTCTATACGTCTGCTTGAGTTATGATACAACGCCTTCCGAGATTTCTCACAAAAGCAGAAAACTCCGGAAAACACAGTCAAATTTAATAACTAGAATTCTTCCAATCATTCTCTAGGACATAGTCATTTGCCTTTGGCCCTCTATATGACCCGCACACTGCAAACAGGACATGACATCAGTGTTTGGCTCTGCGCACTGATAGGACTTGTATTTCCACTTATCTTCAGGACATTTCATCGCAGTCTGGCAGCCATTTCACAGCTACGACAGGCCCGACGTCTGCTCCAGTCGAGACCTCCTATCACGCATCTGCATAGTTTATGTCATGAGCCACATTCCGCCTATCACTCTGCTTTTAATATGTGCATGCCCATCCATGCACTCTGCAGATCCATCAATAATTACAGGCATTCACTTACGATGCAGCACAGGGCAGATGCATTCCCTGGCCGTTGCATTAAGCAAGATTGATCATTGTGCGTCCCGTGACACCTCAGGGGCATTTAAAAAGCAATCTCTCCCAAGCGGAGGGGGCAGAGAGGGTGTAAGCTCGGTTCGTCTCCCATGAAGACATTGCACCCAATTCTCAGCCATTCAACCGGGCTGAAAGCGCCAGCGGCCGGTTAAGGTTTCACCCCGCAAATAGTCATGTGCATTTAATGATGCTACATCACTTCATTCCACATGAATTATGAATACGATGAGTCAAAAAGAAAATTGCTGGAGAGGCGGAGGAAGAGGGAAACTGGGACAGAGGTTGAAGCCACCAGCGAATAATCGTGGCGATACTGGTGTTTTCCCCAAGGTTAGAGAAGAGGGTGAATGCGTAGCTGATGGCCTAGATCTGGGAATCTCCACAGCCACGCTTTGGTTTTTTTTCACGGCTTCACTCGTTCCAACCTCGCTCAAAGCGATAAACCCCCACGTCACGTTCCTCAGTGACGCTAAAATAATGCTGGCTGGCTAAAAACGCTCTAATATGATAGAGACACGGATGCCAGAGTGCATGTCTTAATCATGTTAAGTGTAACAGTTGACATTTCAGTCTGCCTAGAGCTGCCTTGGACACATTTTAATCAGGAATTCAATACGCTTAAGTGCCCCCTTAATATAAACAAACTAGAACTATTCTGCGCTCGCACGCTTTAACATTTCCGTGACTGACAAAGAAGAGTGTTCACAGTAAATAACGAGAAAAATCTTTAAGAATGAATTTAAAACTAGTGCTGTCAATCGATTAAAAATATGAACTAATTAATCACAAATTTAATCACAATTAATCACACCTAACAATTTAGTTTTTATTATATTTTTTATATTGTAATACTTTCACATTGAATCTCCGAATTGAACAACATAAAGATAGTAGGCTAGCCTATATTTTGAATATTTGTTTAATGGCATCTTTTATGAATGAAGGCCTAACTACTGATGTAGCCATTAATTAGGCTATAGCCATTCAGCATAATTGAAAGCTACATTTAAACATTTATTAGGCTTTTAAAAATATAACAACTTTGAATTTAAGTGAACTTTAAACAATCTTCACATAAAACTACTGTAATAAACATTTACCTGTGCCAATTTTTATCTATTTTGTCAGTCAGGCGGGTTCAAACTTTTACTTGCTGTCAAAATGCACAAAAAGTTATTGTTTTCGTTGTTTTTGACCCATGTAACCTTGTAACAGTGCTTTAAATTTTTCATGTATAAAGACCCCAAAAAAAAAATATTTAGCCCAACCTTTTTTACTTTTCTTTTCTTCAACCGTTCTTCTTTCCACACTTGCACTCTTGATCCCACTACAACTATCAACCTTCCATCAGGATATCTATTTTTAATTCAGGTTAGAATAAAATAAGGCTAAAACAAGGTACATTGATTTTATAAATGACTGAAAACAAAGGCATGATAATTTGCACTACTCAGAAAGGTCGCGATCATACAAAAAAAAAAAAAAAAAAAATTGACGACGCTACTGGAATTTATTCTACCTTGCAATTGGAGTAAAATGGCACGCATTTAATTTTAGTACACGAGGTCGTGACTAAGACAGAAGAAATCCATCCCTCATCTGCGACGTCGATCAGTAGGCTATCTGTAGAGCAACACTAGCTCGCCTCAGGAAAAGTCGGAGAACAAACTACAGAGTGAATCTTTCTATTGTAGTTTTGCTCCTTTTGTCCTCTCTCACTCTGTCTTTTACTGACTGAGATTTGTACAATATACACATTGGCTCAACAGATTTAACGGAGTTAGCTATATTTTTTATGTTTTAGGAGTTTGTCGTCTCTGTTGAACGTCAGTGCAGTTCTGAAGGCGAACATTGCCATCTACTGTTGGATAACGAAACTACACCTAAAGTTGAAGTGTGTGTGTGTGTGTGTGTGTGTGTGTGTGTGTGTGTGTGTGAGAGAGAGAGAGAGAGAGAGAGAGAGAGAGAGAGAGAGAGAGAGAGAGAGAGAGAGAGAGAGAGAGAGAGAGAGAGAGAGAGAGAGAGAGAGAGAGAGAGAGAGTGTGTGTGTGTGTATCTGTGTGTGAGAGAGAAAGAGAGAGAGAGAGTGTGAGTGTGAGTGTGTGTGTGTGTGTGTGTGTGTGTGTGTGTGTGTGTGTGTGTGTGTGTGTGTGTGAGAGAGAGAGAGAGAGAGAGAGAGAGAGAGAGAGTGTGTGTGTGTGTGTGTGTGTGTGTGTGTGTATCTGTGTGTAAGAGAGAGAGAAAGAGTGTGTGTGTGTGTGTGTGTGTGTGTGTGTGTGTGTGTGTGTGTGTGTGTGTGTGTGTGTGTGTGTGTGTGTGTGTGTGTGTGTGTGTGTGTGTGTGTGCAATGGCAGTGTTTGAAACTTGTTATAAATCCATCATTTTTCACATTTACAGAAAACTGTAAGAAAAAAAACCCCCAAAAGACTAACCCAAGGAACAAACTACACTACGAAATAAAAAAAATCTGTGTGAAAATATGTGATTGTCACTTGTAAGTTTACTTGTTACTTGTCCCCGCTTAAACATTTCCATCTCAGATCAAACTGATCTTTAAGTCAGCCTAGCATAATTCAAATATGAAATAACACTAAAAACAACAACAGCATCAAAACTATCTCTATAGTTGAGTCATTGAGTCTTGAAAACAGAGCAAGTTGCATGTTACCATATTTACATATTATTTCAACCGACAAATTAAAACATTTAAATGTTTTTTTTTTTTTGCAAGGTCTTCATTTTGAACCATGAACAAAAAGAGTGACTCATTTGTGAATATTGCATGACCCGTTGTTAGAAAATATTAACATCTCACTCCATCACTGTGTCACTTCTTTTCCAGTTTAAGTTTAACTGAGGAATTCCAGCTTGTTATATGGAGCTCACCTACGATTTATCTCCAGGGACATTCACGAAATCTGCAGGCATACCTCGAGTGATCAGTGTGACCTGAACACACAACACATCACTGAATTTTATGCCAATACTTAGTAGTATTTATATACTTTATAAATAGGCTAATTTATCTCAAAGACTACATATGTAGCCTAATAAATGTTATAATAATGATGATAATTATTATTATTATCCCCGCGTCTTCTCTAAGTCAGCTGACTGTAAATGCGCAAAACCTGTTTCCATTGCAGTTTTTTTTTTACTAAAGCAGTATATAAAATCAGATGTGTATTACCTACCACCATTTAGTTGTTTTGTGTTATTTAAAATATTTATAATATATTTTTTTTAACAATGCAAAAAAAAATTTTAAACGGGTTTCAGCCACCAGGGGGGGCAATGCTCCCCCTGCCCCCCCCCGCAAACTCCGCGCCTGCTCAAAGTATTTATTAAATAAGGTTAAAGACTAAAACGCCAAACTCTTTTTTACTGAGTCACACATGGCTGTTCTTTATCTGACTGTGACAGAGCCAACCGCAGTGTCAACAAGTGCATCCTTCCGTGTTCTTGAGGTTTGACCGGAGAAAATCATTATATTTTAATTAACCGAATTCAAGCACATAGGGCAAAGAGCACCAGGTTGGATATATATATTGATTTTTGCTTTATTAAAGGTAATTGCTACTTTTTAGCTCACGGTAAGTTATATTCTCTAAACAAGTGTACAATAGCGCCTTCCTGTGGTTGGAATTGCTGGAACTGTGTGTCGTGAAGCGGCTGTTCATCACGACAGTTATTGCTCACACACGGTAAAAGCGTTTTAAAAAATACAGATGGGTTGCTGATACAATCAAGCTAACCGAGTTAACGTATTCAACCGGCTGGATTATCAATATTTTACAAAATGGGAATCGCCGATGAGGCTGACCGGACTCTGTTTGTCGGGAACTTGGACCCTCAAGTAACAGAAGAAGTTATATTCGAGCTGTTTTTACAGGTACGTGCTGTAGCGTCATTGATTAGCTTGCTAATGCTAACGCTAAAGATAGACTGTTTGCTGTTAGTTGTAGCTCGATTTGCAAACGAATTAGACGCGTGTTTGACAGATAAGTATCGTTTTATATAAAGTGCCATCACCGTGTCTCTGTTATTTGACTTTGATATGATGTTTTTTTTTTAACTGTTAACCTGTAAGAGTATAATGTGTTGTTGTGCTGTTGATATTAAGCTATTGTTGTTGTCTTTGCAAACACACGGTCGCTCTAGCCATTCGTTTACATTGCCTTTAGTGTGATTGTGTCGTTCATTAAGGCAATACACTAACGTTACAGGTGAATAGAGTAAACATTTCAACGAATAGTTATAGATGATTAATACATTAAGACAATTGTTTTGTATTGCAGGATTTCTGTAATGTTATGTTTAAATATGCTATCATTATGCATGCATTTCAACATTGGATAAAGCCAGGTTTAAAATCCTTGTTTAATTTTGTTGAGTATAAATCAGGCAAATTATATATGAATAAACCTTCACAATATATATCGTTTGGTGTATGTAAGTGTTGATTACTGCTTCTGTGCAGGAGAAAAAAATAAGGCGAAAATGGCCTTTAAAGATGTATTATTGTAATTGAAATAGACTGGCACAAATAGATAGTGTAATAAAATAAACACCTAAATGTGTATTTTTGATCTTTTTTCTTTCCATTAGTCTTAAAGAAGACCTGTTGAAGAAGCAGAATAGGCCAACATCTCAAAAATAACCAGTGCATGAGAAGTGTTTTGCCAGTAGTCCCTTCTTAAATAACATCAGAACTCTCTCCTGTATTTCTTTCCAATAGGCTGGGCCATTAATCAAAGTCAAAATCCCCAAAGACAATGATGGAAAATCAAAACAGTTTGCATTTGTGAACTTCAAACATGAAGTGTCTGTGCCCTACGCCTTGAACTTGCTCAATGGAATCCGTCTGCATGGACGGCAGCTCAACATACAGTTCAGATCCGGTAGGAGTTTCCATGTTATTCTGCTTTATTTGGTGTTCATTAGAGGTTCGTCACCGTCTATCATTCCAGCATAGCCACTCACCAATCTTTTCATGAGTTACAGCAATTTTTTACAATTGTCTTTAAGAACATGATGTTAAAAAAACGGTATTAATTAAGATTAATTTTAGGTCCATTTTAAAAAAATTTAAAATTAACATTGAAGCCATTTATTTAATGGTAGTTTTTGGTCATTTTGTGAGTGAATCAAGTGTGCAAATTATTTGAAATATTTAAAATAATCTTTGCAATGTTATAAATTTCTCTTTCATTTAGTAACAATTCATATCTGATGTTAAACCATTATTGAATCTGCATACAGTAAATGGTGAATTTAATTAATGCAATGTAACAAACTATATGAGGTGAAACCAGTACTAAATCAAGGAGTTAATTGTTATTTTGAAAATGGATTTATGAACATGTTGTATTTATGATATGTCGAATTGGTCACTCAAGACTCGCTCGTTTAAATTTATTGAAAGGGGAAGAGAAACCGGTTTGTTTTTACAAAGGACGAGAAACTGTTTTTTTTTTTAAGACAAAACTGTTATATTGTAAATAATGACATTGAAATGGCATTGTAATCATATAAAAAATAAAATTTTTATTTTTTTATTTTGCCATGAATATAGCCATTGCTGCTGATATGTTAAATCATAAATAAATGAAACAATACATCACAGAAATATAATGGGCTGTGAAAGGGTTGTCACATTTACTTTACACATTAATTACAGTAAAACAGTAACTGATTAATCATCATCTAAACCTGCTGTGCTCCTAACAGGAAGCAGTCATATTAATCAGGAAGGCAAAAGTCCGGCAAACTCTCAAAACCCCAGTCCAGCGAATACACCAGGTCACCGCGGTGGAAGGTAATCTTTGTTTTGAATGTAGTGCTTATGTTTACACCTGGTCAGAACATCCATCACAAGATGTCAGCAGAGACAGATTTACATACTTGCGTCTCTTGTGACCATTTGTGATTGGATTTCATCAAGTGCCGGGTCTCTGATTTCATGAGTGCGTTCTTTACTTTCTGTGCACTTACAAGTTAAATTCATCAACAATTTATATTATTTTTCAAATGTTTTTTTTTATTGAACAGTGCGTTTTCTTTTGAATCTTTGATTTTGTGATTGTATATACAATACTATTCAATAGATTGGGAAGATTTTTTGTTTCATGTCAAATCAAAATGTGAGATTTTTTCTCTTGTAACTTATTTTAAAATGTAATTTATTCCTGCAAAGGAAAGCTGAATTTTCAGCATCATTACTCCAGTCTTCAGTGTCACATGATCCTTCAGAAATCACTCTAATATGCTGATTTGCTGCTCAAGAAACATTTCTGATTATTATCAATGTTGAAAACGGGTGTGATGCCTCATATTTTAGTTAGAATAAAATGACAGTAGTATAATAGCTACAACAAATTAAATTCTGCCGAATTTTACATGTATCAATTTATTTTAATGTAGCAATGACATCCTGATAATTTGTTCAAATGTAAAGAACATTAGTTTATTCGTTTAACGACATTAATGGTCATATGAGAATTTACTTGCTGTCTGAGAACTGGAAGCCATTCTGGTGATTTGACGTGTTCTGCGGCTCTTATAGGCTGCATTTACACCAGCTCTCGATGCCCAGTTCTGATATGTTGACTAAACACCCAAAGGTGACCCGGAAAAGCTTAGGCTGGAAAGAAAGTAAAAAAAACGGCACAATTTTTGCAATTGGACGCAGACAAAATAATACAACCTTCTCTTTTGAGCACCATCTTTAAAGGTCAACAAAATGCAAATTATCCTTTTATTTTTCCTTAACTTAGAAAATGAACACATGCCAGTTAAGAAGAATAGTTTTCTTCAGATTGTTTGTTGAATGTGTGTGTTTCCCCTGACCTGATGAGTGTGTGTTGTGTTGTTCTGGCAGAACCCCAGAGCAGATGAGCTCTCCGTCCTACTCTCCTCCACAGAACATCCAGAGGTCTTTCAGTTCTCCGGACAGTCTGCAGAGACAGGCGATGGTGAGGACACCTCCACATTCAAACTTCTGTTAATTCATGTACATTTTATTGCATGGACAAATGTATACCCTGTTGCATTTAAAGTTGTCATTCACATTTTTTTAATTGTTTTTGAATAGATGAACAACATGTGGCAGGTCCAGATGCAGCAACAGTTGCAGCAGTTTAACGGGGCCTTCCAGCAGAGCATGCAGCAGATCCGGGGCACTGGAGACGGTAACCCATGGCAACCGGACTGGTCTGGCCAGCGAGGTCATCGCCACTCTCCCCAGGACAATAACAACCATCACGGCAGAGACCAACGGCACGCAAACAGCGGGAACAACTACGACCGCCATCGGCGCGACAGCCAGCGGGGAGACCTGCATCCCCAGGACGACCGCACTGGAGGAAACCGAAATCACACCCCTGAGAGGCGCCGAGACTCACGGGACGGCCGGTGGAAGCGCTTTTAAAAAATCTACTTGGTAGTTGCATTTTTAGTTCTCCTGAAAACCTTTTTTTTTTTATCAACTGTTTTTATTATCTTTTGTTATCCTCATAGATTTTTAAATCTATTTAGGTGGATTACATATTAACTGTTTAAAAAAAAAAAAAAAATTGCAGTACAACTGTAGGGGGGGAACAAATCTGACACAAGGTTTAGGCATGTTGACCAGAATCTCTTTGTTGAGATGCAAGAACAAAAAAGAAAAAGAAAAAAGACTAAGGTCATTTAGAGGGACGGCCTATTTTAAAAAAATATATGTTTTGATCTCAGGGGGACACCCATGTTTATATATATATTTTTATTTTTAAGAATGTCCTTTTTGAGAAATTTCTGTATGTACAACATCAAAGTGCATAAAATAATCAAATTTGCTATGGTGGATTTTTGTTTTTATAGAAATTTGTAATTTCTCAGGATTTCACAGAAAGCATCTGAAAACTAGTTTTCTATCATTTGTTTGAGTAACAATGTTTTTTAAAAAGCAGATTGTTTTACTTTCTACGTTCCTCTTTTGGGATAAGAATGGGATTATATTGACTCTTAATTAATCAAGACGCTCTTTGAAAACTTGGAACAGTAACTAGTTTTAATACTTTTGTAAATACACCATTTTTATTGTCAAGTGCACCATTCGTTTTCATAAAAGTCACTGTTTCACTGATCTTTTTCTGTTGTGAATTAATTATTGCACTCATTGCGTTACGATGGACATAAACATTGCGTTACGTCCATATTAAGACCATGTTGATTGGTTTCTATAATTCAGCTAGTATTTGTTAACTGATTATTACAAATTTCAAATGGCTCTTCTAGTGAATTTAGTAGTGTGTCCAGTAGGTGGTGCCATACTTCCTTCCAGTTGAAGCATATTTAGGCATGATATTTATACTTCTAATGCATACTTTTAAAATAATGAAAATGTAGGGTGTTACATGTAGGCTAAAAAAAGTGGAACAGTTTTTGGTAGATTTGCAAAATGTGTATGACATCAGTTTTAAGTTTATATAAAACATGTTAACTTAAATGTAAGTATTACACAAAGTATCAAGTTTAAATATAAGTTAGATCTACAGGAACATCCTTGCCATCAGCTTAAGGAGGATAATTTTTCTAATTTGTTTGTAGGCTATTAATCGTGTTGTTTATAGAGAGCATTCTCATTTGCTCAGATTTTGGTATTTGATTTGTTTTTGTCATACATTTAACACTTTTTTTTTTTTTTTTTTAGGAGTGCTTCTTGATATTTAGAGGGGGGAAATACGTATTTGCCCATTTATTACACGTCTCCCGTTCAAACATTATTTAATCACTCGAGATTAAAAATAAAACCCTTTAGCCTACTGTGGGCTACAATTATAAAAACTATAGCCTAAATAATAAATATGGAATTTCCTGCAACCAGGGAAGTTTTCAAAATATGTCATTTTCTCTTTCTAACTAGCCTAACTACCTTTTTTTGTGTGCAAAAAAATGGCACATTTATGATACGTCTTCCGTTGAAAAATTAAGTATTTAATCACTCGAGAATAAAAATAAAATCCTTCGCCAAATTTTTGTGAGCTACAATTATTAAAACTATAGCTTAAATAATAAATATGGAATTTCCTGCGACTAGCGAAGTTTTCAACGGTCTGTCATTTTCTCTTTCTAACTATAGCCAAACTACCTTTTTTTTTTTTTTTTTGTGTGCAAAAAAATGGCGAATTGGCAAAGGTAGGCTATATACTGGGAAGTTGACGGGAACATTAATAGTCGAGATGTGATTAGCAGAAGTATTGAGCTGCCAGTGGTCAGTGCGCGACACCCCGCAGGAATCTTTTAATGTCCGATATAAAGTCATAATCTGCCCTTCCGAAAGTGCTTTAGCTGCTAACAGCGGCTCCCGGTGTGTGTGAAGCCGCACATCCCCGCAAAGCTCCTCGGTCCAGAAGCGTCAGGCATTAATCTGCGGAGGATCGTGTTCTCTCTGTAATGAATCTGCCGGACTGAATAAAGCGCTGGTTAATAGATTGAGCTGCTCGGCGTCCGCAGTCCCGGAGGCTTGAACTGCAGCTTCACACTGCGCCGAGCTCTGCCTCTCTTCACACTAATACAGGCGATGAACTGACTCCTGTCACTGTGTCTCTGTGAGAATTTTTCCTGTTCTATAGGCTATAGCCTATATTTTCTCTACAAAAACAAACAAACAAAAAAATAATAATTTGACGTTTTAAAAACTTTTTTTAATATTTAACTTTTTCCTAGTTTATTTTAAGTTGAAATATTCTACCTGTTAAAATTCAAATTTTGATGTAGGCTATGTGTACAGATCGTGTTATGGAAAAACACCATTTATAGCTGTCGTTATTAGGCTACAACATCAGTGTAATATCAATAATAGGCCTAGGGCCCTAGGATATCAACGCAATTATTATTTTATCTATCTATCTATCCATCTATCCATCTATCCATCTATCTATCTCATCAAATATTTAATATCTATCTATCTATCTATCTATCTATCTATCTATCTATCTATCTATCTATCTATCTATCTATCTATCTATCTATCTATCTATCTATCTATCTATCTATCTATCTCATCAAATATTTAATATCTATCTATCTATCTATCTATCTATCTATCTATCTATCTATCTATCTATCTATCTATCTATCTATCTATCTATCTATCTATCTATCTATCTATCTATCTATCTATCTATCTATCTCATCAAATATTTCATATCTATCTATCCTCTATTTCAGATCTATCTATCTATCTATCTATCTATCTATCTATCTATCTATCTATCTATCTATCTATCTATCTATCTATCTATCTATCTATCTCATCAAATATTACATATCCATCCATCTATCTATCTATCATTATTTTTCATATCTATCTATCTATCTATCTATCTATCTATCTATCTATCTATCTATCTATCTATCTATCTATCTATCTATCTATCTATCTATCTATCTATCTATCTATCTATCTATCTATCTCATCAAATATTTCATATCTATCTATCCTCTATTTCAGATCTATCTATCTATCTATCTATCTATCTATCTATCTATCTATCTATCTATCTATCTATCTATCTATCTATCTATCTGTCTATCTGTCTATCTATCTATCTATCTATCTATCTATCTATCTATCTATCTATCTATCTATCTATCTATCTATCTATCTATCTATCTATCTATCTATCTCATCAAATATTACATATCCATCCATCTATCTATCTATCATTATTTTTCATATCCATCCATCTATCTATCTATCTATCTATCTATCTATCTATCTATCTATCTATCTATCTATCTATCTATCTATCTATCTATCTATCTATCTATCTATCTATCTATCTATCTATCTCATCAAATATTTCATAGATAGATAGATAGATCTATCTATCTATCTATCTATCTATCTATCTATCTATCTATCTATCTATCTATCTATCTATCTATCTATCTATCTATCTATCTATCTATCTATCTATCTATCTATCTATCTATCTATCAGTTCACAGGTCACAAATATTTCATAGATAGATAGATAGATCTATCAGTTCACAGGTGCCGCAGTGAATCCACTTCGCTTCCCATTTACTGTCTGTCAGTTTATCTTGATATCCAGTTGTATCCCTCTGTTTTAGATCCAGCAGCAGTTGTTCTCATTTCTTCCTTTGATCGAACAGAAAGAGCTCAAAGCTTTTCCAGAGGAGATCTTTATATTTCCTTTACATAATCCCTCGCGCTTTGAACACGGCGGCTGTTATCTCGGACTCTCTGCGAGTTATATTTACTCTCATACATGGGAAAATGATAATCATTTGGACAGAGACACACAGAAACCCGACACTCACATCAAAGCAGCGCTCCATCTGTAATAAGCATCATAATGTCAAACTAAACTGAGCTGTCTGGAAAGAGCTCTTTCTCACTGTTCTGTAACAAAACCGAGAGCAATATCTGTTCACCTCCATCATTTCACACGGTCTACTGTCTCTGACACTGATATGAGCAACACTTCAGCACCTGTTGACTCTTAGAAGCAATGCAGGGGGAATATGACTTATTTCAAAATATTATTTTTACAACGATTTTTGCTAAATAAAAGGGAAACAGAACCTTTTCAGAAATGTCACTGCAGGATACTTTAACGAGCTCATTGTTTCTGCCAAAAATTAATACATGATGCTAGCTAAAACTGTGTGATTTATTATCTTAACTATTTGTGAAATATGGATTTGGACACAGTCACCTCTAGATCAGATTCTGTGAAGCTGCTTTGAAACTATATGTAGCCTATTGTGAAAAGCGCTATAATAAATGTGAATTTAACTGAAAATGAATTATCTATAGAGTTATATCGGGTAGCCTAATTATACAGCCATACGATTTCAAATGTAGAGATTCACGCTCTTTTAAGTATTTTTGGGATATCAGTGACCATTGAAAGTTTAATGCACAATATAAGCTATTTAGTATAATTATTAGCCTACATCAATTGGGTCATTATTACTACATCATTGCTCCTCCAGAAACAAACCGCTAACAACACAAAATAAAATGCATTCCGTCTGTAATTTATTAAATTCAAGTTATAACAGAAGTGTCGTTAACAATCGAATATTTGATTAGATTAGATTAGATAGCCTACTACAGGATTAAGTTTAATGTTACAGTAAACATTTCCAAATTTTTTAAGTCAAGAAAACGTCATCATTTGATCAAATATAGGCTACCCCTTAATTACAAACTGGGCTTGGTATATTTTCTGTCCCGCTGTTATCGTCAATAATTATTAGACAACCCGTTAACAGCTAACAATGTCTTATTAAAAGATATAGCCTAACCAAAGAACTGTTGTATGTGTGTATATATATATATATAGTGATAATTTTTGTGAGTGTTAGATATTAATAAACGTTATGCCATTTATTATTATTTTGAAGAAAAGAAGAGCCCGCGCAGTGATTTTCTCTTGTTGTAAAGCGGCGCGCGTAACTTTGCCCTTCATTTGTGAATGAATGATGCCGCTTGTTCTGGCAAGTGAATAGTCGCTGCAGGAGATCGCTGAAAGTTTTAAGACTCGCAGGAGTTTCATCGACAGGAGTTTTCCACAACAGCAGCAAAAAATAACCGCAATAAAATAAATCCTTAAATGATTAAAATTCGTTGCCTTTTCAATTTAAATGCTACACTCTTTTAAATAAATAGCATGCCTGGTCCATGTTTACTTCAGTGTTCAAATATATTTTAGCATTATTTTAGAATAATTCGGTTTATTTTATTTTCTAGATCGATAGGCCTAGATAGATAGATAGATAGATAGATAGATAGATAGATAGATAGATAGATAGATAGATAGATAGATAGATAGATAGATAGATAGATAGATAGATAGATAGATAGATAGATAGCCTAATAATTGGAAATGCAGACTTTTAAATGAACACTAAATGAACTGTAATTTCATCAAATCTAACTCAGTTTTGTTGTTTAATGTAAACAATAAAATCTGACTGAACTTCGTTTCCGATTTTAGGAAACAAAGCTTTTTGCGAAGCTTTATCATTTGTAATAAAGCACATGTGTTTCCTCTGCAGATAAACGGCTAGCCATGATTTATGATAGATAGATAGATAGATAGATAGATAGATAGATAGATAGATAGATAGATAGATAGATAGATAGATAGATAGATAGATAGATAGATAGATAGATAGATAGATAGATAGATAGATAGATAGATAGATAGATAGATAGATAGATAGATAGATAGATAGATAGATAGATAGCGTTGGATAGATAGATAGTTTTCATATTTAGTATTATTTCTACCTTTTTTGTTTTAACAAGAAACAGAACAAAATCATAATACTGATCATAATAACACTATTAGAAATACTGACTTTTAAACGAGCACTAAATTAACTGTTATTCCATCTAATTTAACTCAGAGTTGGGGGTGCAGATAACCGGTTCATTGTTCGTATGTACAGAGAGAGAGAGAGAGAGAGAGAGTGTGTGTGTGTGTGTGTGATTGACGTGAAGTGTGTCTGCTGTGTAGTGACAGGAGAGCTGGTTTATATAGCGGTGACTCAGAGCGCAGCGCGCACTCGCTTCATGAATGAGAAGCTGCAGACACTATACCAGCGAGAGCACGCCAGGGCTGTTCAGATGAGATGTCGTTTTAGGTCAGTAGCATATGCAATAAGTTTTACACACCTTTTAACGAGGCGAATTTCAGAGCTTTTGTCTCGAGCGTCAGGCTGAAGGCGCGTATCTGGACACTATGCATTGCCAAGCAGAGCTGAGACTCGCGGGCAGCGCGCAGCTGAAAGCAGTCAGAAGACGATACAAGACTTTCATGATCGACGAGATCCTCTCCAAGGAAACATGTGATTACTTCGAGAAACTTTCTCTTTACTCGGTTTGTCCCTCTTTAATCGTCAGACCCAAACCTCTGCATTCATGCCCGGGTAAGTGACGCCAATTCACAGGTTTTCAAGAGATTTTTTTTTTTTTTGTTTATTATTTGAAATGCTGCATTTGAACGGGCATTGATATCTTTCACTCTCCTTGTCTTCTCACTTTCTCTTTGACTTTTATATTTGAAAAAACAACAACACTTGCACTGCAATGCAAATTCAACCCATTAAAACAAAAAACTGACGCGTTGAACTTTTTGAAATTTATTGCAATTACTAATAAATAAAATCGAGCGGAAAATATAGTCATAATATTACAAATTATTGTGAAAAGTTAAATGGAAGGTTTAACAATGAAAACATTTCTACAGTGTGCATGCAGCATGGCTATGAAAGAGCACACGCATATATATATATATATATATATATATATAGGCCTAATATTTGAACAATCATTTTTGAACAATACTAATTTGAAGGATAGGCTACTTTTCCCGAGTTGAGTGTACCAAGTATTTTGCTTTCTTATAATGTGTTCATTTTAGCCAGTATTTGCACACTTTTTTGTCTCTTTACGAACTAATAGAGGATGAAATATTACGGAACCCATTGTTATGAGAAGGAACGGCCAGGAAACTGATGTTTATTATTGATATTTTTGCCGTTAATTAAACTACGTCCACTTGAAAATAATATTGCTTGCATATATTTACCCATATGTTCTTGCGCAATAGGTAGCGCGCTTTAACATGTTCATATTCCTATTTAAATTAGTTGATTGGACGCATTTAAATTTAAGTAGTTCGTGAGTTAAACTGTAAACACTGTTTGTGCGATAAAGTTTAATTCGCACCCACTGACAAAACACACGAGATAACGAAACAGCTTAGCGAAATTACAACATAAAATTGTATGTGATTGATTTAATTGCGTGACCGTAAATGTATTTACCTTCACATTAACCTTGTCTGACTTTTGACTGATATTGTCAACATTTAACATTCATCTCATACATTACACATATTTATTTGATTTGCACCAGATAGGCGCTCAAATTGTTTTAAAGTACACATTTAATTAAGAAAACAATGGCCACAGAAATGTTTTGACAGTTGAATAGATTAATAGTTGACATTCCCTTGAAATATCACCACACCTCACTGATGATTTATCATTGCACAGCCTCATATTTCATCTTGAAACTTTTTTTTTTGCACACTGTGTTTTGAGCGTTTGGCTTCATTGACCTCAGGGTTCAGGTGTGTGCACACTCTGCAAACTGCATTTGTTTCATTCATTTAAACTGTCACATTTATAATGAGTTGGGTATCTGTGGTAAAATAATGACATATTCTCCTCTTACTTGCCCCAAGGAACACAAACTCTTGGAAGCCACAGGACATTTATCTATTTAGAGAACTGTTGCCACACACTTGACTATGCAACATAGGATGCAGTCAGGTATGACATCCTGAAGCAACAGGTGTGATGTCATTCCATCATAATGAGAAACATTGTGCGAAGTTCACAAGACATTTTCATGTCATTAATCCATCCATACATCAGCCAAAATGGGACGTGTCCTGAAGATCATGATAGTGCCATGCAGTGTCGGTAGCGGCCCCGTGTAATTAGGTTTAAGTGATTGATTAAGTGCATTTGTGACCCATCCAAAGGTTTAGCAAGGACTTAACTCTGTGGTTTCCGATGCGATTTTCCAAAGAGAGCATCATCACACATCAAATATTATTCCGGTTGTCATTTGAAAACAAACTCACTGTTCTGTGTATATAATCGTTCCCTATTAACACTTGACATATGCAGCAGAACATGTACAGTATGTTGACAGTTAGTATCCATACTTGTGCAGGTCATTTCATTTTTTGTGTGTTTCCTGTACGACCAGATAACATCTCCTTGTCTCATAAAACTAAGTGTTACTTTTGACACTTGTAAGACAAGCAAGTTTTTCAGGTCAGAATGACTGATCTCACAGCAAATCTTGTTTTGCTTTGATGGATAGCTTTATAGGTACATATGTATCTTCCTAACATTTAACACAAAACCATAAAGACATTTTCCTTTATTAATTTAGCTAATTTCACAACCAGGCGTCACCAGAGCATATTAAAATGATGACGAAGCCAGTATTGGAGATGTTAGGTTTGATATTTTCCCATCTATGTGTGTATAAAACCGAGTAACAATCGCATGTAGGCCTAGTTGTTCATTACGCAGACACATTGGTTTCACTTTATTTTGATGGACCCTTTAACACATTCTGGATGCACCTATGTCTATTAGTAACTCTCATAGTATTAGTAGACTGTAGGTTATAGGGTTTGGGTTAGATTAAGTTGACATGCAGTTGCAAAGTTACTTATAGTCAGTAGAATGTCTGTTGAGGAGCATCACAATAAAGAGTTAGCAGATATTAAGAAGACAGTCTATTAATACTCTAAGAGTTATTTAGTTGCAAAGTTACTTAGTACTTAATTGTACACTGTAACAAAAATAAAGGGTAACACTTTATTTTGATGGTCCCTTTTAAACCAGCCTGTTCTCACGTAAATGCGTCTCTATAGCACGCATTGTGTATTATCGTGCAATTTATACGCGAAAATTAGTTTTTACGTGCATATGATACGCAGCTTTCGCGTGCATTTGATACGCAGTTCATTTGCGTGTAATACACACGCACCCCACACCACTAATTCTACCCAAACGTATAAAACACACGCACCTCACACCACTACTAAACCTACCCTAACCGTATATGCACGTAAAAACTCATTTTCGCGTATAAATTACACTATAAACACACTGCGTGCTATAGAGACGCATTTAGTGTGATCGGGTTGTTTTAAACATTCTGTTGACTCTAAGTTATATTAATTACATTTAGGGTTAGTTGCATGTACTTTTGCAAGATTTATTCTATAATAAGTAGCCTACTTGTAACAAGGACACTGTAAAATAAAGTGTTACCGACAAATGAAAGTGATTTGGCAGCAAGTGTTGCAGTGCAAAATTCCAGACTAGTCCAGAAAAGCGCAAAGTATCCGTCTCCAGACTCGATGTGTGTTGACAGAGAGCATCTTTGCTCCTCGTACCTGCTGTGCAGTTTGTGAAATCGGAGACACTTCTTCTGAATGGATGGGACCGCGATAAAAATAGCTTTAGCAGTTTACACACAATTAACACACACGTTGCCCATGTAAGCACAACACAACATGCACACAGACGTATACATACACATGTATGAAGTCATAAACATGCATGCTTGAATGCGCACATGCTTGCTTGTGTTTGTAAGTCCAGCTGTGAGGTAAAGGCAGTGTGAGAGGTTTGGCAGGCCGGCGGTGGAGGATAGAATATCCAGCCCGAATATCAGAACGCTGCGCACACTGTCTCTTTTCAATCTGAGGGGTGTGAGATATTCTATATGCCAGCACATCAATGGATGGTAATGCTTAATATAGAATGTAGCTGGCATTAAGACTGGCACTCACTGAAAGGCCACTGGCTCTCTCCCACATCATCATAACTCTCATAACTCATACTGTAAACGCTGTCGCCACTAGGAGCCGCTGTGAGACACGTCAAAATACTACAGGAGAGTCTGCAGTCAATTAGAAGAAAATGATATTTCATAACCAAAACAAGTAATACGCATTTAAATATAAAAGACGTTTAGGCGGGATGTACTGAGTTCCAATTTGTTCCCCGTCAGTCTAGGCTACTTCCAAACTCAAACATGATTGATTTCATCCCCGACTTCTCACATGTGTGCAATACCCGTAATATGAAACTAAAAGTTACTATAAGTTATCCCTAAAATCAAAGGGAAATGATGGGTAGAAGCACCGAACCCTGCAGGGTTTAAGCCTAAACTAGACATATACTGTAAACTTTTCCCTCAAATCTGATTGGTTGTTTGGAATGTTGGTCCAAAGATGTTGTACTTGGTGAAATTATGTATACCTCTCTGAAATGGTTCATAGGCTACCATTAACATTACCAGGGAAGTCAGTGGATTAAATGGCCTATAAACTATAAAGCCACACTCATTAAGGGACGTGCATTTATTGCATGGACAAAGAACATAATGCGTTTAAAATGCATTTACACATTTATAACATTTGCCTTCTTTACTGGTGTTAAACTGAATGCACAAAGCAAACTGTTTGCTGAAAATATCCACATTGAAATAGGAGTGCACAGTTTATCTGTCAATCAACTGCGTGTGGAAGTTTCATTCATTACTATAATTGTATATATTTCTATATACAGTATACACACATCCTATAAAACACCAACCCCCACACACCCTGGTCCTACCCACTTAAAAACTTGACGTGAGAGTGTAATAACAGGTTTTAATATTTCGTTTGGAGACATGTCTTTAACTATAACGCGGGAAAGGCTTTTAGAAGCATTTCTGAAAGGAGGAGATGCAGATAAAACCTGTCGATAGCGTAATCTTCTATGACAGCATGCTGAAAAACAGCCTAATAGGAGGATGAGTCTCCCTTAGAGGAGGAAACCATCACAACCGTCCACAACCTGTCTTCGCATTTATTAACTGCAGACAATAAAAGCAGATGTCATTCAGATGAGAACCAGTTATGTTCACACACACATAAACAAAAACATACAATTACGGACGCATTTGTCGCAATTGTCAGACCTCACCCATGATGCAACCCGGAGGGTGTGGCTTTACACATTTATGGCAATGCATTATCAGGGTGAATATCTAATTCATGAGATCTTGTATTCAGCCTTCGGGCAAACACGCATGCCAAATAATTCACAGGGTTTTGTTTCATGTCTAAACATTTATAAGTATGATAGACAGAAGTATACACTGCTTCATATACACTTTTTTTAGTTTAGAAGGGATGTTGTTATATTCCTGGAAGAGTCAAACAGAAAGCCATCAGGTGCATTAAAGGGATACTCCACCAGTTTTTCTTATTAAACTATGTTATTCCCTTAACTAAGACGAGTTGATACATACCTCTCTCGTCTCAGTGCGTGCACTATAT